GTGTTGCTAAAAAATGGACAATGAGCTGATATGATAGATGCATGTGCATGAACTTCTTTAATGTTTGGTTCTACACCAACATATATTTTTACATCATAAAAATCTTCAGTGTTTAACAATCTTTCATTTTCATTAAAATATTTTTCAAATATTGAATTCATTTTCTTTTTTCAAAAAAAATTATTAAATGAAGATCGCCAATGGCCAATCGCATGTTAATTATAATTGTAGTAATAGTAAGGATTTATAAATGATTAAATAACTATATAACAACCTTGATTCAAATAATTAATATAAAGTCATAAATTTATAAGGAAATATCATAAACGGTAATAAGTAAAAAAGGAAACTAAGAAAAAAACTATATAGTTGCAAACGAAAAGCAGTATAAAAAAAATACAATTTAACCTATCATTATTTGCCTTTAATCAATTACCATTATCCGGAAAAAAAATTAGTATATAGCTCAGCTATTAGATCTTTGCCACTTCCTTGTCCAGAAACAAAAGCAATAGCAAGGCCTTTGTGAACTATGTTTCAATCGTTGCCCGTAATATCTACGGTAATTGGAACAAGAAAAACGCCAACTCTTCAAGTTGAGCAACCTTTATGGTAACTCGTGACTGCTCGGTCTTCCTCGGAGTGTGCTATTAGGTTGTTATACGTGAATAATACGACTGTTTTATTTGCTGGACAGACCATTTTAAAATTGTAAACTTTCCGCCCATTTTTTATAATAATTTAATTATTTACGACCCAACAAAATTTGATAATTTATAGAATATAATGATTATATATATATAATAATGTTGTGAATTGCGCGATTTCATATAATTTTGAACTTTTCGGGAAAACTTTCAAGTTTTCACAATTTAACTTGAAATTGATTTTTGATTTTTGTAGGTTATCGAATATTTAATTCACCAAATCTACTTATATACCATAAACACTACCATCTAATCAAACCAAATATCGTAGCCATGACCAAAAACAAGTATCACTCACTATTACAAATCGAATGGTGATCTTTATTATTAATAGCATAACTAATAATAATATTAAATGTATCTATTATATAAACTACTGCCTCTTTAACTCTTATTAAATGGATTATAACCACCAACTATTTGCTCTAAAGTTTTTAATTTGACAACCAAACATTTTTGATCAACCTTATTGCTCTGATATATAAGTTTAATTTATATTTGACCTTATTGAATGAAGTATATGGTATATTTTTTCTGTCAATTCAACTTGCAAAAGGTAAAGTAACCGACCGTTCCATTTATAATTATTAATCTAGATAACTGATATCTTGTCTTGATAAGTTTAAATTTAAAATAAGTTGATCATCTGGAATAAGAATGGTTGACTAGATTCATATTTATCTCCAAGGATCTTTTGACGAAATTGACGAAATTAATTTAGCCAATCAAATAAAAGATACTTGCAATACTTGCTGATCACTAAATAATAAATTTTAGTCCTATACATATATATATTAATTGTTTTTAAATAGTGCAAAACATTTCAGCCAATACATTAACATCATTCATCAACTTTGGACAAGGATAGTGATGGGGTAATATGTAATTATCATATCAGCCGATTTGATTTTTGGCCCCTCCTTTCAAACCCCGCACGCGTGTAC